GTGTGGCTAGATGAGCAACCAAGTGGGAGTGTGGTGCTTCTTAGCTTTGGAAGCTTGGGGGCCTTTTCGAAGTCCCAACTTAAGGAGATTGCAGATGGTTAGTATTTAATATGACATATTTTTCTAGCTTGGTGAAGTTTTTTTTGTCAGTGAAAGACATGTGGAAATTTTTTTTTGTAATTTTACTAAGTTTTTTTTTAGGTTTCTTGATACTCACTCTTAAATCAGATGTATATCCTTTTTTGTACTATTATGAAGTATTTTTTTTTTTTGTTCTAAACTATCAAACATATAGTCATTACAGTTATGTTGCAAATAGTACAACAGTACGGGGGGCAGAATGATCATTTATCCATAAACAGCTGCAAATCAGCTATTTTCCAAACGCACAAATCAAAACAGCCAATCAACTTATGTCGACCAACAACTTATCTAAATAAGTTGGATAAGCTGCAGCTGTCCCAAATAGATTGTATAAAACTTTTCCATCCTTGAGTAGGCATAACCGTCTATCTCGCCGTCGGCAGCCTCGAGAGCGCTGTTGGCGGGCTTTTGAAGATTTTGTCATGTAGTCTCGGGAAAAACTCGTCGTAACTCGTCGTCGGCGGGGTCGAGGGCGCCGTCGGCGGCCTAGTTCAAATCTTCACATTTTAGTCATTTTCGCTCCAAATTCGCTCCTTTTGTATATTTTTGCTCCAATGACCCTAATTCATCATTCCTGCAACAAAACATCAAAAATACTTTTCTTTAAATTACAATATCATTAAAAATAGTATAAAATAGGTATGAAAATCTCAACATATTTTCCTTTGGTCACAAGCAAAATTACTTGTATTCCATATATTAGGTGAACCATTGGGTAGGCATGGTATGTGCTACCTCAACGATAGAGTGCTTCGAGCAACTACATTGTATGTTTTACTAAACTGCGAAGAAGTGCAACCACTCCTATAGTAAGATTAATTTAAGAAAAAATTTTCTAAGTTATTATCCAAAATGTTATACCAATTATTTCAAAAATACACATCACAATGAATCATAAATGTTAAACCTTAATTCTCATGTTTGAATTTTGATATTGACAATTTTGATGAAGGAAATTTGAATTAGCATGGACATTTAGCTCTTCCTGTTTATTACTCAGCGGATGGTTAGTATTTAATATGACATATTTTTCTAGCTCGGTGAAGTTTTTTTTGTCAGTGGAAGACATGTGGAAATTTTTTTTTGTAATTTTACTATGTTTTTTTTTAGGTTTCTTGATATTCACTTTTAAATCAGATGTATATCCTTTTTTGTACTATTATGAAGTTTTTTTTTTTTGTTCTAAACTATCAAACATATAGTCATTACAGTTATGTTGCAAATAGTACAACAGTACGGGGGGCAGAATGATCATTTATCCATAAACAGCTGCAAATCAGCTATTTTCCAAACGCACAAATCAAAACAGCCAATCAACTTATGTCGACCAGCAGCTTATCTAAATAAGTTGGATAAGCTGTAGCTGTCCCAAATAGATTGTATAAAACTTTTCCATTTGCTATCATAATTTTTTATTTTTTTATTTAATAGAAAGAATATTAAAGGGATTTTAAGACCGAAATTCTTTATCAAAAGGGTCAACCAACAAAGTGTGATGTAATTGCCAGAAAATCCTTATTAACAAATAATATTTTCAGGTCATGCCTCCCTTCACAAATTTTAAACACTACATTCAGTGAAGTCCAGGTAACACTTGACAAAATAAACTTTTTTCATATAAATATTTATAGTAAAATCAGCGGCGACGCATGTGCTGACGACCCTCTTGGCAGCAATATTTATATCCATTCTCCCAAAATTATATATATATATATAT